GGATCAAGTAATGGATTGAGTACCTGCCCTGTGCCTGGCAGCGAGGAGAGGGCCTGGATCAAGTAATGGATTGAGTACCTGCCCTGTGCCTGGCACCGAGGAGAGGGCCTGGATCAAGTAATGGATTGAGTACCTGCCCTGTGCCTGGCACCGAGGAGAGGGCCTGGATCTAGTAATGGATTGAGTACCTGCCCTGTGCCTGGCACCGAGGAGAGGGCCTGGATTAAGCTCCTGCTATGTGCACGGCAGAGGGGAGGAAGCATGGATTAAGCACCTGCTGACTGCACAGCAGTGGGGAAAGGACATGGATTAAGTGCTTGCTGTGTGCCCAGTGCGGGTGGGGTTGGAGAAGGGTGTCTAGAGAGCATATTCTTGGGAATCTGAAGGTTTTATCCTTCAGACATGGTCTTTAGGAAACCCACAGCTGGGGCCTGTAGCTACTCAAGAGATAGGCATGAATAATCTATCCTTACTGGTCAGGCATCTGGTGTCCGGTAGCCTGGACTTGAGACTCAATCCAAGGCTGTTGGCTGGTGAAACAGCAGCTCCGGGTGATTGTGTTGGTTTTTTTCTATTTAGGAAGCTGGAACCTGGCCACTCCCCCACTCTCCCCCGCCGAGGGGTGTTAGCAGAGGCCTGTGACATGTCATTAGTGTCTGGGTCCCACCCTCCACATGAGCTTTCCCACTCAGCCCTGTTCCATGACTCCTTGTCCCAAACCACTACCACCACCTGGAGATGGCGGCCAGAGGAGGCCAAGTGGCAGTCTCAGCGAGATGAAGAGCGGAGGGAGAGGGTAGTGGTCAGAGGGTGGAGGGAGATGATAGTCTGAGAGCAGAGGAAGGTGCCGGTCTGAGGATGGAGGCACCAGGCAATGACACTTCCATACTTTGGACATGCTGTCAGGGGACACCAGTCCCTGGAGAAGGACACCGTGCTTGGTCAAGTGGAGGGGATGCAAAAAAGAGGAAGGCGCTCAATGGGATGGATGGCACAGGGGCTGCACCCATGGGCCCGGGCACAGGAACAATGGTGAGGGTGGCGCAGGAGCGGGCAGCGCTTTGTTCTAGTCTGGTCCCTAACGACAACAAGGCGCTTGGCTGTGCTGAACCGGAACCGGGCATCTTGATGTGAGTTATTTTCCCCTGCCCTTTGGCAGGGGTTCTTAGGAGGAAGGTACTCCCTCAGAGACCAAGGCACCTGTATGTCACACAATCCTCCCACAAGTGTGCCTTGGGGGGCGGGGGGCGGGGAGGGAGCAGTGATTTAGACAAGAGAGCCGTGTTAATTCGCTACTTATACTTTCAGATGGGGCAGGTACATCCATGACATGTATGATGCAGCACTGTTAACAGGTGCTTCCAAATCAGTCTGCAGCACCCTTTCACCCCGGTGCTCCTCACTGCCACCCAGGAGCAGGGTGGCCAGGCAATGATTCCACGTATTGCTCTATCATGCAGAGGGAGAGACTGAGCTCAGATGGCAGGGCTCCCAGGACCTGCCATGGTGAGGCTCCAATCTGGCCTTCCCGACTCTCTGGGTCAGGCAGGGACAACACCCTGTGGCTCCACATGCGTGTGCTTCCCCAGAGTGGAAGCTCCATCCATCCATCTATCCACCCCCCATCCAGCAAACCTCCATCCATCCATCATGCCCTCCATCATCCATCCATCCATCCATCCATCATGCCCTCGATCATCCATCTACCATCCATCCATCATCATGCCCTCCACCATCCATCCATCCATCTAGCTACCAATGCTCCATCCATCCATCATGCCCTCCATCATCCATCCATCATCATGCCCTCCATCATCCATCCATCCATCCATCCAGGACCATCATATCCTTGCAGCTAGGTCCCACCTGCAGACCATGCCCCCTCAAGAAGGATTCTGATCCACCCACCTTAAGGCACATGCTCATTTGAGTGCTAATCAATGGCAGCAGGCTTGGCTCAGCCGACCAATGGCAGCTCCATCTTAAATCCATATTCAAAATAGGGCAGGGACCTCTTCCAGAAGCATGTGGGCTTTCATCCTCCCTACTTAGCATCCTGCCCAGAACCCCAGGAAGGGTCTGAACCACCCACCTATGGTTTGCACATCAACACCTAACCCACAGAGCCACCAAGGCTCTACTAGAATACCAGCCATGCTGACCTCCCAAGGAGGTGGAGCCCACAGGTGGGGAGATGGGACCAGGGGCGATGGCAGGGCTGGGTTGCTGGGGCAGATTAAGGAGCGAGAAGGGACTGTGCCCGAGAAGACAGGATGGAGGCAGAGTCTAAGGAAGGTCAGAGGACAGGTGTGTGGAACCAGTGGGTCTCAGACAGCCGGGCCTTCTCTGGACTCCTGGCATCGACATCAATGTGCAGGGTGGCGTGGGAACATCCAATAAAGCCATTTGTCCCCATAAATCCAGTTCCCATAAACCCAGCCTCTCCCCGTAAATCCAGCCTCTCCCCATATATCCAGTCTATTCCTGTCTGCCCTGACACAGGGTTTAGAAGAATGAGATTTGGAGGTAGGTCGATTGAATGAGTCCCTTCTTTGTCTCCTTGTCAGAGCTGAGTTCCTCACTCTGAACCCCTTGGATCAGCTCGAAAACGGGCATGTGGGCTGACAGAACGGATGAATCCATCTTGGAAGCAGTGCGGTCAGAATGCACCTGAGGAGCAAGGATGGCGGGACTTCATCTCACATACTCTGGACAACACGTTACCAGGAAGGGCCAGGACATCATGCTTGGTGTACAGTGGAGGGGCCAGGGGCAAGAGGAAGACGCTCAACGAGATGGATGGACACCAGGGTTGCAACATAACAGCGAGCGTGAGGATGGTGCGGGAGTGGGCAGTGTTTTGTTCTGTTGTTGATGGGGTTGCCAGGAGCCAGAGCTAACTCCAGGGCACCTAACAACAACAACAACCATGCCGGCCTGGCCGAGCTGCATGTGGAGGAGAAGAAACACCATTTGCCAAGAGCCCAGGCTCTGCCTGGGGGACTCCTTTCTGGGGGCTTTGGAGGTGACTGAATGCCCATGCAGGGCACCCCCAGAAGCGGGTCCCACAGACACGGGGCCTGGAGACGTGCATTGTGGGGCTGAGCCAGCAGGCGGTGGTCTTGAGTCCTACTTCTCAGATGGAGGCATGGGCAGCTTTCCCCACTGCCCATGCAGGGACCTTGGCTCAGAACCTGGGAGGAGACCGGAGGGGCTCAGGCCTCAGACTCTGCTGGTGGAGGCTCCGGAACGAGAGGGGGCTCCCTTCTGGGAAGACTTAACACGCACAGCCATTGTGGGGCCCACAGAGCCATTTATTTCCCATCTAGAACAGAAGAAACACATTATTCCGTTCCTGAACACACTTGGGCCATCACCACCCTCCAGCCGGCTAGTACTGGACCTTGACCAAAGCTGCTTGCTTTACTTCCATCTGAAACAGAACGGAAATCGACCTTCCAAGTGCTCCGAAGGAACTTTGCTTTGAGGATAATGTATCTATCGCGCCTGCTGTCTGAGAGCAGCCTTGTCTGTAGAATTTGGACATGAAAGTACCAAAATGTCGAGTTTCACACCACCAGGGCCAGAACTGGTCTTTTCACGACATTTGGACTGGTTGCCCTGGCGGGGAGCATGCCTTCCTTTTCTTGGTCCTGGGCAACGCCCAGCCCACAAGCAGAGTGAGGGAGCAATAACTAACCTTTGCATTTAAAAAAAGACAAACAAGGTTTTAACCAAATACAAGTCCATGGACTTGTCATTGAAACACCACAGTAGATCAGATGGACTTATCACTTGGCCCAGATTAATACGTTGTCCTAACACTACAAACAAATACATGAAACTATGAAGTGTCTGGATGGTGCACCGAAGCCCAGGCAGCGCTGCTCTTGGCTATGACTTGGCCTGGAGGCACAGCCTTGGCTGCACTATGGACAGGCCCTCAGAACCAGTACTCAGAGACGAAGATGTGGACGTTGACGACATTGCGGTGGGAGACCACACCCCCGATCACGTAGTTCATCTCTAGCTTCAGGACGGCGTGGAAGGGGCCCACGATGGGCCGCACCTGGCGCACAACACCTGGGGAGAGAGCAGAGGTGGCCCGGCAGTGAGAGGGACTGGAGAAGCACTGGGGATTTCAGGAGGAATTTCAGGGCTAGAGCTCACATCTCCTGCGAGACATCCCCTCCAAGTGGTCTCACCACCCTCCACCACTGGCCACAGCGAGCTTCCTACTTCTGGATGCGACCATTCACAGAGGCCCACTGGGTTCTGGGGGTCCTGGGGGTCCTGGGGGGACAGCTGTGGTTTGGCCCCAACTGCTGCCCTCTGGGAACCAGGCTTCCCCATCTGCCCTCCTCTCCATAGCCACATCGTTCCGAGGGTTTAAAGCTCCCGGAAACGGCCCCAGGCATTTGCAGGCTCCCAGACGGCTTGCTCCACACACAGTAGGATTGAGGAGACTGAGGAAGTATGAGGAGAGGGGACGACCCTGGCACCCACCTCGCCTGATGGTGAACGAGGCGGTCTCTTGGTCTGTGTGGGTTCTACCTGAGCACAGGGCAGTGCTCTGCAATTCCCATCCTTGGATGTCCAATCCGTCCCCAGACACCCGTGTTGGCCATCTCTGTCACCTAGCCAGGCCCTGCTGGCACTTCCCAACCCTGCAGGGCACTCACAGT